GAAGTGACTTGGGGAGGGGCCATGGTTGGGTGGCCGGCTGGCTCTGCCCCTGATCGGGGTGGGGGGCCGATCTGGGTTGGAGCTGGGTTGGGGGAGAGGCTGTAGACTGATCAGGGTTGTGGGGGCCCATAGGGGATGGAGCCGGCTCAGAGGAGGAGCTGCGGGAGGTTGGCCAGCTGATCGGGCCGGTTTGCTGGCCACAGTGGGCATTATAGTGACTGGTCATCCCGTTACAGCATTACGTTTCTGGTTTTTTATATATATAGATGGCTGCTTAGTGTTCCTTGTATGGCTGACCAGAGCTCTACTGATAGACATTTCAATTGTTTCTAATATTTTGTTGCTACAAACAATGTTGCACTGACTTTCTGTGTAACTCTGTGTGTGTATCTTTGTACACTTAGGCAAGGATTTCTATAGAATAAGTTCTCAGAAATAAGATTTCTGGGTCAGTGAGTATGCCATTAAAATTTTTGATGTCTATTGCCATGTTTATCTCCAGAAAGTTCAAACCTGTTGCACTTCTGATATTGAAAGTGCTTTTTAACCATATGTTGCTAGTACCCAAAAGTCCATGTTCCCTTGTTCCCCTCTGTCACATCGCCCTGAAAAGCCCTAGCTGCCCTGGTTGGTGTGGTGTGGCTCAGTTGGTTAGTTATTTTCCCATACACCGAAAGTTTGCAGGTTCGATTCCTGGTCAGGGCATATGCCTAGTTTGTGGGTTTGATTCCCGGTCAGGGTGCCTACGGGGAGGCAACCAGTCAATGCTTCTCCCTCACACTGATGTTTTTCCCTTTCCCTCTCTCTAATATCAGTAAGCATGTCCTCGGGTGAAGACTGGGCGGGGGGGGGGGGGGCAGCCTCAGCCAATTCTTATTTGCCCTGCATTGCAATGGGGCGTGGTACCACTACACATCTTGGGTTTCTAGTTTGATCTAGACTCCTATTGTTCCTGGTCAATAGTTTTTCCTATGTCCCACGCTGGCTATTCTAAACTTCTGACAGTCCTGTCACACCTCTGCCCAACCCTGCTACTTTCAGCTGATGACTCCCCTTTCACTCCACATCTCTGTCACCACATTCTGTCACATCCCCCTCTTTAACTTAGTTCCTATCCATTCCCTCTCTCTTTATCCCTCTGCCACTTTGGTTTGGAATGCCATCAGAGCTCATCTGTTTGCTAAAGAGAGACCAATTTATCTACTGACTAGAGTCCTGGTACATCAGTTTATGCATGGATGGGGTCCGGCCAGCCCGCCCTGATTGGGGCCGATTGGGCCAGGCCAGCCAGGGGGAAGGTACACGGGAGGTTGGCTGGCCGGCCCTGCCCCCGACTGGGGTGGGAAGAGTGGTTGGGGGCGGGGCTGGCCAGGAGGAGGGGCTGCAGTCAGTTGGCAGGGGCCAGCCCCGCCCCCTGGTCAAACTCTGGTTGAACTCCTGGTTGAGGGGACAATTTGCATATTACCCTTTTATTATATAGGATTATTATATAGGATTGGTCTTCCTGCCTCTTCCTTCCTTCTAACACACTCCAGTTCCCCTTTATGCTGCAGCCAGCATGATCTTTCCAAAATGAAAATTTAAGCGTATTAATTTCTGTTTTTTAAATATTTCAGTGAAAGACCCATAGAAGCATTCCACTTTCCCTGGTATGTTTTTTAACACTTTATCCCCTTGGCCCTTACCTTTCTTTCTAGTCTTTTCTCCTTCTACTATCCCATGTATGTCCAGTCAGGCCCACCTACTTGTCTTCTGAACCTGCCTCCAACACATTCTGTGTCCTCCACCTGGAGTGCCTTCCCCCTCATCCATCATTCAGCCCTGCCCAAATCTCCCCTTTCTCAAAAATCTTTCCTTCACTTTCTTTCTGTAGCCAAATCCTTTCTCCTCTCTGCTCCTATAGTGCCTAGATTATATCTCTGTTATAGCAATTGCCACTTGGCTACAGAAAATTTGCATAGTTCATCCCCCCTGTTAAACTGTGATTAAAGATGCATTCCTAGTACCTTTCACAAAGTCCTGACAGGTAGGTGCTTAATAATTGTTAACGAACCTCAATTTCCTCACGTGTAAAACAAAGATTAATGACTTGCCCAAGATGATCCAGCTAGTAAGTTATGGGGTAGGAACTGATGCAAAATTCTGTTCATTCCCCACCCCTAAAACATCTGTTTGGAGATCAGTGTAGGATCACACAGAGCAGAGTATGGATGTTGGAAGTGAAAAAAGTGTAACTGATTTGTTTATCTGTTCCCTCTTATTAGCACTTTTAAAAGCCCATTCTCTCCCTTTTTCTCTCCAAGGTGTATGGCTGGGGTTACAATGGCAACGGTCAGCTGGGCTTGGGAAACAATGTCAATCAGCTGACCCCTGTGCGAGTGGCAGCTTTGCACAGCGTGTGCGTGAACCAGGTATGTGTGGTAGACTCTTGGCTGCTGGTCTCCATCTAGCTTCCCTGCTCTTACTTGGAGGAATATTGGAAATTTACTCGTCAATAAATATTTTAGGATAATACTCTGTCCCTGAGTCTTTCACGTCTAATATTATATCTTCCCTAAATTCTGATGATGAAAAGGAACCCCATGGTGGTAGCACATCAGTACTGACGAGTAAAAATAAAGATTGGAAAAATTCAGTAGTCTCAGGTTTAGGCTTTCCTAATGTTGTTTTAATGTTTCAGAGAATGTTACTCCACACCTGATGATGAATTGGCATTCTGTAGAAGCTGGCTGTAATCTTTAAGTAGATGTTTTCCCTGTCCTTCCTGTTTTCCTGTTTATGGTAATCATTTAAATTTACTTGCAGATTGTCTGCGGCTATGCACACACTCTAGCACTAACAGATGAGGGCTTGCTCTATGCCTGGGGAGCTAACACGTATGGGCAGCTTGGAACGGGCAATAAAAATAACTTGCTAAGCCCAACACACATCATGGTGGAGAAAGAAAGGTAACTTGGCTGTAGTATGTCTTGGGGTTGTGTGTGCATTGTGGACTTAGGACTGTGTGTGCTGGAGCTGTGGTGTTTGGCTTTGTAACTCTTGTTTATTAACATTCTAATTTTGAACAAAGAGTTGTAGTACCAACCAGAATGAGCATAAAGTTGATATGTTTCTTATAAACTTTCTAAAATAACCTCCTGATTGACAGGCATTAATACATCCTGGTATACAGACTTCTTGTTGCCCATTTAGTAAGGAAGTAAAATAATGTCTGTCACCATGTTGAAATACAAACTTTTCTGTTGAGCCAACTAAAACAACATCTAAATAAATAAAATCTGCCCTTGAAAGGTCATTATCTGTTTAAATATTGATTTGATGTAATGTATGTTACTGGAATAGATGCTTAGTGTTTATTCAGCCAAATTGTGAGGTTTTACTTGCTAAGTTTTAGAATGTCGACTTCTGATTCTGGGTCCCTGCCTAAGAAGCTGTCTGAGAAATGGAGTAACTTTGGCTTGATGTCCATTTGGCTTTGGGTGTTCAGAGCTCATGACCCCTAGATCAGTGCTTATCAGCCTAATGAGTGTTGTGAGCTCTGTTAGGGATGAGAGAAAAAGTTGTATTTGAAAGGAAATTACCATTTCGAAGACAGTATTTTTTTTTTTTTGCTACAGTTTAAGCTGCTATAACCGTCAGCACATTTTGTCAGAGTCCACTTTACTCATTTACTTTGGTTTTGTTAGGTCTGATCAAATAATTGAATCAATACCCTCTCCCCTGGGAACTGACTTTTAGGCCACTTCACAGTGGACATTGGTAAGGGATTATACATTTATTAGGTCATCTGGATACCAGATGGGCTGAGTCCCGAAATGGCGCCAGCTCATCTGGTACCCAGATGACCTAATCTATATATATAAAAGCCTAAGCGATCCTTACGACCGAATGACCAGAACAACTGGTCCACCAGTTGCTATGATGCACACTGACCATCGGGGTCAGATGCTCAACCCAGGAGCGGCCCCCTGGTGATCAGTGCACTCCCACGGCCAACTTCCTGCAATCCCTCCTGTGGCCCCTTCCCCACCCTGGCTGGCCAACCTCCTGTGGCCTCTCTCCCTCGGCCAGCCAACCTCCCCCAACCCCTCCCCCCAATGGCCAACCTCCCGGGGTCCCTTCCCCCGCCAGCGGGCCCCCCGATAGGCCTCAATCGCTGGACAGGCCAAGGGACCCCACCCGTGCATGAATTCGTGCACCGGGCCTCTAGTAAATTTATAATCCCTTACCACTTTGGCCTCGTGTGTGTTCCTCCTTTGGCGACCCTAACAGGTTTCTATTCCCTTTTTCCAAGTTTTCCTCAATAGTTATGCATTATTTATCTTAGAGGTTAGGATGAGAAGTTAGGGGCACTCAGGAGAGGAGAAATACAGTACTCTTGCTCTGATCTTTTGGTTTTGTCTACAGGACGTGATAGCTAATATTTCTCAGTCTTGAGCTATTTTTTGAGGTGTTCTAAGCATGAACTTTTTATTTATGTGATATGTTGTGGGCTTTTGTAGTATAGATGTGACATCCATTTTTCTTAAAATTTTTCAGAGTAGTAGAAATTGCAGCTTGCCACTCTGCCCACACATCTGCTGCCAAGACCCAGGGAGGGCACGTGTACATGTGGGGCCAGTGCCGGGGCCAGTCCGTGGTCCTGCCTCACCTCACCCACCTCTCATGCACGGACGACGTGTTTGCCTGCTTTGCCACTCCCGCCGTCTCCTGGCGCCTCCTATCTGTAGGTAAGAAAGCTCAGGGCTATTTCCACCCAGGAAAAATAGTCCTATCAGCTGACCAGTTTGCTTGCATATTTCCTGTTTGTGGGCTTTTTTAGGTTCTAGAATGTTTTATTTTTTATTAAATTTAATATCTTTCCTCAAATTAGATTTGCATAATAAAATTTATTAATGTGTTATGAAACATTTTATGGATTATTTTCTCCCCTTAAGTGCTTTCATTTTAATTGAGGTGAAATACGTATACATAAAATTAGCTTCACCCCAAAGCCAGGGAATATACGTTCTTCTCAAGTGCTCATGGGACACATTCAAAAATAGACCACATATTGGGTCACAAGCAAAGTCTCCCCAAATTCAAGAAGATTGAAATCATACCAAGCACCTTCGCAGACCACGATGGCATAATATTAGAAATAAACTA